CTTAAAATATGTGATTTATTGTCTAAAAGTTGAATTTTGTAACAGTTTATCTTTTGCCTGTAGTATAGTGGAGAGTTAGACATGGAGAGGTCACTGGAGAATGACTGCAAAACAAAATATGTTCAAAATAGTACAAAACCTTTACAACTAAATAAATTAAGCATAATGTTGGGGATATTTGCCCACAATTTATTTCATTTGAAAAACCCAGCTGGACAGATAATTAACTTAAATTGGAATCATTTTGTACACTGTAAAAAGTCATGCTAGCACTCCATTGGAAATACCTACTGTAGATAAAGGTTTGTGCACACTGCAAAAAATGGTCATATTAAAAAGTAATTGTTTTCAAATGTTTTATACCAAAATGTTGGATCATTCTTCAATGTTAAAATGTAGTTTCAATTTTGGGGATAAAGTTTAGGATGAGACATGTAACAAAACCAATAATTCAGATTTGTTTACAAGAAAATACAATAAGTATTTAGAGAAACTAATATTTGAGGATTTAGTCAGAACATATAAGATTACTTGATAAAATGGAGATCAAATGTGTTTTGAATTCCTGAGAAGATTGACTTCCAGTTTATGTAAGGAGAACATATGTGTATGTAATTAACTGTCTTTTGCTAGCATCAGTTTTTCCCAGTGTCTCTTTGTGTCTTGGAAGACAATTTATTCAGTTTTTAACAATTTCACAAAATATTAGATTGTTAAATTTAACAGTATTTGCCGTGTAAATACAAATAAACCAGTGCTGTTATTTCCAGGGATGTTCTCTAACTGAAACAGGGCTACACATTTAGAAAGAAAGCATGAAGAAATGAAAGAAATGCAACAGTTCTCTGTAGATGGGACTTGGTGTGCAAGGCAACAAAAACACTGGTGTATAAATCATCTTCCTAAACTTCAACTAAACCATGAAAATAAATAAAGACACAAGAAGAGAAACATTATACAACCTTTACATTTCTGTGCAGCTGAAATCATGGTAAGTCCGAATTGAGAGAATGAGCTTGAACGCATCACGAAGCTACAAAACAGCATTTTTACAAAAGCAAGACTGTGCTGTGTGCTAGCTTAAAAACAAATCACTACCGAAAAGGAAACTCACATTCTTAAATCCTGTGTGGTGAGATGGAGTGGCACTGGAACACTAAATACAGAATGACGGTGTCGAGTCCTTTCTCGCTTCGGAGGCACGATGAATGGATGTCTACAGGGATATATCATCATCTATATGTGGTGACAATTTGTGTCCGCATCGCAAGATAATCTATTTGTGTAATATATAATTAAATGGGCTTCCGTAGAAGAAGGAATAGTAATTGTAATACAATAAGATAAATAGATAATAATAAACTAAGTGTTTGGTTCACCTTGTTCATTCACAACCGGAAGCTGCTTCCACACCAGGCTTTAATAGGAGCTGTAAGTGAAGAGAAGCGCTTGTTTTAATCTGCTTGGAGCACCAGGCGGGTGGAGATAGCAACTCAAGGACAACTTCGATAAAGTCAGGCACATTTATGTTATGAACTAGAGAAGTTTATTGGTACTTCACTGGCTGAAGTGTCCTGTTAAAATCCTTTAACTTGACAAACTAAGTAGTTTCTCTTGCTGTACTCAAGGTATGTTAACCAGCAAGCAACCACAATCAAAAAAGGACTACAAACGTTTTGCCAGTTAAAAGATAGCTTAGCATACATTTGTAGCTAGTTAAACAAAACAAAAAAGCATTATATAGAGCCTAAAATGTTTGTTGTACCAGCATGTTTAATTCTGCTGTGAAGCCTCAAGTGGTCAATCGTGGAACTGCACTTTATGGCAATTCCATTTTGGCTTCATTTTCTAGCACCAGAGGTCAACGCTTAATCAGTTTTAGCAGATATGGTGGTGCAGGGGTGATGTTTTTTTTGGAAGTTAGGAAAACAAGGACTCCCTGGACAAAAAGCTAATGGGATTTTTTCATTGGATTTTGGATTATTGCCAAAAATAAGCGTTTGAGGCTTCCTGTTGCACTCCAAGCAGTTCAAAGTACTTCCTCTTGAAGCCCGGTGTGGAAAACCCTCTGTAAGATTCTCCTGACTCTGAAGGTGCTTTAACATGCTATAACTGTGTAATAATCCATGTGTGTATATATAGTTGGTTGTCCAATATTACAGTTTAATTGTGGCCCTAAATCTAAAGTAGTAAAGGCCTATATGTGATCTTCTGTAAAACTTTTTTCTTGCGTCTGTACCATCAGAAACGTTGTGCCTTTCAGTTTTTCGAGTATTTGTCGTTGCTTACAGTTTGTGTTCAGAACTGGACATTCGAGATGCTCGCAGTGCAGCAATCGACGATACAGTAATTTGTGTATTGTTGAGACATTTAAATAAAAAAGCTACTGTATATAATGTTCATGTTTTTAAGTTGCATTACTATACAAAAGGTAAATTCGATTTGTTTACACATTTTCTGCCAATTTACCAACAGATTTGTTTATATTTCTACGTTTATCACTAATTGTTTTACTATATTGAGGGATGAGAGATGCTAAGGCAAGTTTTACACTGGCTCATGAAAACATTTATTGCAACCAGATTAGAGTGATTTGTAGATAGATATTCGTACCTAACATCATAAGAACTTTACCTAGAATGAGTATACTGCAGATTAGCGTCGACAATTTGTACTCAAAACAAAGTGAATCTCCACTGTATGTATTTGACCAGTTTGAGACATATTGTGGGCAGTTAGACTTTAACAAAGATTGCCTCAATTATCATTGAACATCTCCAGATGCAATGATGCAAATAGGGTTTTAAAGATTACAATGTAGGTGTATTATAAGAGTGTCAAATTTAAGATTAAACTTTTTTCAAATGTCTGATCCTGATTCTAAATTCCTTTAATGGTTGGATCAACAGGTATATCTTTTTCAAGACGCTCAGCAACTTCCTGTACATTAATGACGTACAGGTGTCGGTGTATCCCTGATTTCATGTGCCAACAAAGCAGCAGAGATTTAGTGTTTCAAATTATGTTGAATCTTTTACCTTTTTTTCAACTGGAAAGTTTGAATGCATTACGTGGTGACATTCAAACATTCAACTCCAGAGCACAGTGGTGTGAAAACAAAGTGATCAGACGCTCAAAACTGATCCTTAAAGTTTTACAGCACAAACAAACAAGACCGCCAGCAACCAACCAGTGTTTTGTTAATCAAGTCCCTCTCATTCACACACACACATCGGACACACACACACACACACACACACACACACACACACACACACACACACACACACACACACACACACACACACCACACACACACAACACACACACCACACACACAACACACATGCGCACACACACACACACACACACACACACACCGGACACACACACATCGGACACACACACACACACACACACACATCGGACACACACACACACACACCGGACACACACACACATCGGACACACACATCGGACACACACACACACACACACACACACACATCGGACACACACACACACACACACACACACACATCGGACACACAAAACAAAGACAAAGGAGACTTTTGGTTCCATTGTCACCCTCCATCCCATGATGGTGCATTATCATGCAAACCATGCAAAAAACCATGACAACGTATTCATATAAAAAATAAGTGTTACAAAATGGCATAGCAAGTATATGTATCCATTCAATCGCTTTTTCCGTTTCCTGATATCCTGAACTTTGCAGTGTCTACACTAAAAATCGCATGCGTTACATGCAGTGCGGTTGGCTTTGCAGCGATAAAGCTTTTGGGTGTATATAGTATGTATTTTGAAGTTCTTTTTTTTTGTTAGCTAAACTTTTGCGAAGATTGCGCTGTACAGAGTTTTACTTTACAAACTGTCTGTTATTTCCCTTTTTTTCCTGGGCAGTCTCGATGCCATGGCTCTCCGTCTGGACGGCGGTCGGTTGATGAGAGCATTTGACCTCTAAAGGTTTGGAACTCGCTCACAACCTCGCAGCATCAGGGTGGATTAAACCCCGCCTTTTACCTCCAAATGGTACGGTCCAGAGGTGGCTTCGACTCAAACTAATTTGGGTTTTAGAGGCATGATGCACGAACACCTCTCAGGGTGGCGTGTTCCAAACAGCGTCACCAAACCCCTCCCCAGTGGAGGATAGTGGGAGTGGCCCCCCACTGGGTGTAAATGGATCTGTATCCGTGTCTGTTTCTCCCTCTGCCAGGTAGCTTGGTCTGGGTTTCGTCCAGCTAGCGTTCCCGGCCCCCATTGATAAATCCTCCCCTTCCTCCCTCTCCGCAGAGATGCTAAACCCACTTAGCGACCGCTCCAGCTCCTCGTGGTTCACGGATAGCATGGATAGCGGCGAATCGCCCTCCCGCCACCCTGTGGTCCTTCCTGGAACTGCAGATAAATCCTGCAGAGAGCTGATGGGCAACACCGTGGGACGCTCAACGTAAGTAGGGATGGCGGCTGGAAGGTCGTGTTGGTGAAGGTGTTGATGCTCAGGAGGTAAGCGGCTAATAACGGTTACCCCCGTCCCCTCTCCGCCTCCTCTTCCTCGACCGTAACACGGATTCCCCTTGGTGTCAGGGATCTGGTACGCCATGTGCGGGAACGCCTCGGCGTAGTTGAGGAAAACCCGCCGAATTTCACCGTTTGCGGCAGGAGCGCAGGTCTCCAGGGTCATGTGGGCGGCGCCGGCGGAGTCAACCTGCAGGTGCTCAGTGTGCTGGATGTGCATGTCCACCAGGAAGTCCAACTTCTTCTCCATGTCCTCCACCTGAGCAGAGATGGCAAAAGTACACACATCCTTTATTCAAGTAGAAGTACAGATACTCATGTTTAAAAATACTACTATACTATATATATATACTATAAGTAGAAGTACTGACTAAACTTCTTTACTCAAGTGAAAGTAAAGAACTTTGAAATGTACTTCAGTAAAAAGTACCCATAACTAGCAGCTGTTTTAAAGAGTACCTGACCTCCCTTTATATTAATAGAACAATAATGTCATTGTTAGCTAATGAATATTTCCATGCTGAACAACGGCAACATGACAACGTTTCCATTGGTCCCTCTTCTTTAGAGAAGACCAGGAAATGATGGATACAAATAAAAGTACGAATACCACACAAGTAAAAGTCTGGCATTGGAAATGTTACTTAGTTAAAAGAAAGTAAGCATAACCAGCATAACATTAAACTTATGATTGACACCTCTTTATAATCGTTAGAGCCAATAGAATCGAGGGGAAGTTCCTAAAATCCATCTAAACATTACCCATTGGTGAATGAGAGATGCGTAGCCAGATACACTCTGGTGGCTATCATTAGCAGCTAATATGAAATCTCCGTTTTTGACATACAAATTGAATGATGGATTATCAGAAATCATTCAAAGTGACACAGACACATTGGATTAACCTATGGATTAACCTATGGATTAACCTTCAGCAGCGTGTTGATCGTTTTAATGCCATTGACCACAACATTTGATCAGAAAACAAGACGTTTTTAGCCGTTTTGGCTCCGTAAAGCTATTTTTGTTGTCGTCGTTTGTTATCGAGTTCTGATCGCTCAGTGATGATACTTATATATCTGGAATCTGTGGAATCTCAGTTTGCTAATCGATATCTTGTTTGTGCAGATCCGATAAGTAATAAGGGTATTTTACCATGATTTCTGTGCTAAGTGTGTTAGCATTTTTCCGCTCAGGGCAAATTCAGAGCCTTTGTTATTACCCTTTTGTTTCGTTTTGCTAAAAAGGGTTAATATTGTCTGAAAGCTGAGTTTCTTCCCGTTAAGTGGGTATAAAACATTCATAGTTTAACTAATGTCAACTTTGTGGTAGCATCAGCTAACCGTTAGCTAGCTAACGTAATGTGACTTTACATAGCAATGTTAGCTTTGAATAGACACAGCTGTCACAATCTGTTTAGACACTTTTGTTTTAGGTTGCGAGACAATATCTCCAATGCATGAAAACATCTGAGTTCCTTTATCTTTCTCACACAGTGCTTTGAAGCTTGAATCCTCACCTGTCTCTCCACCCTGACAAATCTACCCATCATGCTTTGGTCTTCGGCATCTGGCAAGGACACGGCTTTGGCAATGTCGGCCTCATGCCTGCAACACAGGGACAGTTAGTGGAGGTGGACTTCACAAAAATGTGTTAAAGGGGGAAATAACAGTATCATCTGCGTAAAGCATCAACTTTGGAGGTAAACAGCATTCAGTATCATTGAAACTGTTAACTGTTAAAGAGAATCGAGACAAAGGGTTAGGGTTAGGGTTATGTAAGCAAGATACATTCATAGTTAACATTTCAACTAGCTTTAATACAGCACATACTTGCAGTTTGGTTCGTCATTTTCTTTGTAATATAGGCAAGGCAATTCAAAGTGCTTCATATAATATTGCATTACAATGATAAGATTACCTTGTCAATTCATTATGTTCAAACAGAGTGACTGTACCTGGGTGACTGATTGGACGGGTAGGTAAAGGGCGTTTTCTGAGTTTTCTTAGTTTTTGGAGTGAGGGGGACTCCAGGGGCAAGAATCATGTCGATCCTGAACAGAACAGAAACAGAATGAGCTTAAGATAGATGATACTTTTCTTAACTCAAACAAACTAGCCCAGCTGGCGAGGTTACTGACCTTGTCTGGAGGTATTTAATTCTACAGAGCATGTCCAGGTGTCCAGCAGAGTACTGTTCGATCACGTCTTTGACGTCGTAAGGCCTCAGAGTTTCCTTAAACCGCTTCTTGTTCAAGAGGAATTGCATGATCCTGTGAGAAAAATAGTTTTAAAATCAACAATATGGGGCATGTTTACAACCTGTCTGATAGCGTGATCATTCTTGTTCTTGTCCTGTTGAGATTGTTATGAATCTCCAAAGTTCTAAGCACTCAAATTATCTATTTGTTAGATCCAAGCCATTGTAAAAATCTTTATTGATTTATCCAATTATGGCCGCTTATCCTGGTCCAGGCCGCTGTCCGATGCGTTTCCAGGCCAGATGTTCATGCTTTGGCGTTCCCAAATTAAAACTATAAATGTAACTAGGAGGGATCCACCACCTCTACCGTTTTCCTGTTTCCAACATGACCCATTACCCAACAAAACAAACAAAGGTCGACTAGACAATGGGAAGCATGACATCCAACCAGTTCGAGATCAAATCTGACTGTCAATCTCCATCTTACCATCACTCATGACTCAAAGATACACTCCCTCCAAACCATTTCAATCCATCATTGTTAAACCAGGATCTAACTTAGCTATATATCGTTGGCAGTCGAAATCAGCAATTATTAAGGATAAACTAGGATCTCACACTTACACACTAGTACCTGGGATCAAAGACCAAAACGTTATCTTTCTGATTGTACTTGGGATTAAACTTGACATCTATCAGTTCTTTGAAAGTCTTCTCCAAACTTGAGTCCACCCTGCCACCCACTGAGCTCCTTCTTTTGTCCCAAAGATCTCCCACTTTGAGCGGACTTAAACCCAACCTTTCCCAGTGTCTGTGGTTGCTGCTCGAGCTTCAGTGTTTGGCGGAAAATCTTGGGTCCTGAAACTAAAACCCGACAGGTCTGAGAATCCCATTCAGACCCATTCATCCCTGAAATAATGGTGTGGAAGGAAGCAGCACTTTCACAGGGTTAATCACTCATCTCACAGGCCCTCACAATAGATTGAATTCCTGCATGATGTCAGCTGTGTGGCCTATGGACTTACCAGCACACTGTAAGCATGAGTAAGGCCGCTCTTCACTGTCTGGTTCCCACTGATAACTATTGCACTCCTGCTATAATGCTCTGTGCTGTATTTATTTCTCAGTCTTCCAGCAGTTTGTATCTAAATCTATCAATTCAGGTCAAATGTGGTCAAAAGTTTGCAGTATGAATCAATAAAAATCCAATTTGATTTTGGTAAACCTTAAGGGTTTCTGACACACTTATTTAAAAGACAAATCATTGTCAACATGATCACTTCCATAACGTGTATTCTGGTGCAGATCTAAATGCAAACTAACATCTTCGATTTTATTGAGCAGTAATTTCCAACAGTACACTGAAATGTTATTTTTACCTTCAGCGTTTTTCACCATACGTTTTCTTCTGTATTGCCTTTGTTGGACCATTGCTTTCTTTGCACGTTCCCACCATGGACGATGTATCAGTGGAATAACTAGAAACCATCTGCAGGACTTATATCGCCAACATTTTACACAATACTAACAAAACAAGGATCGACAGGGAACCTCAAACCCCAGGCTAAAATAAATGCTCTGCCCTCTAGGTGGAACATTTGTAATCTGATTCACTCTGACTACATCCATTGTCACTTATCACAACCTGGAGTACACTTCTGCATCAAAGCACCAAAGAAAAAGAAACCTGGAGGTCAACAAAAGCAAGACTTATAGCTGCTGTCAAGGAGTTTCTGAGTGCTTTCTGGTTTCTGGAACATCATTATATTTGACCTGCAACACAGTATATTATATAGCCAATAGCATCATCCCTTCGAATATCATGAAACTATATTTTTATCTCATGAAACAATATAACGTCAATCTTTTAAACGATCAGGGACAATTGACGCTCTAATGCTGTTTTGTTGAAACTTTGAAGGAGCACAGAGCTTCATGAAATGTAGTTTTAAAGTTCCTGACCTGACTGCTCTGATGACCAGTTTCAGTGTTGGGATCATTTCCTCCATGAGGATATCTGGAGGGAAGCCTCGCTCCTCTAAGGCTGAATCTGCCAGGGCTCCAGAATCTGACAAAGAAAAACAAACCATAGACAGTTTGAATGACAGTGGCCATATTGTCTGGGACCAGTTACCACATTTAGAAATTAAACCTTGTCGAACCCTGTTAGAACAATATCACTGGTCCCCGGCTTGAGCATCAGTCTCAGGATCCATGTGTCTGTGATCCTCTCCAGAATGGAAGTAGTCATCACATACAGAGCATCAACTAGTTCCTGAACAGTGTCCTTCACATGCTGATATCCAAGAGAGGGAGTTACACAGTCACAAGATGGAGGAATGCCGGTTCTTCTATGTAATCATACATCCTGTCATTTACAAAATACTGAGTTTTTTCTGAAAATGTTGTTTTTTTTCTGAAAATCTCAACATTCTGACTTTTTTCTCAAATTGCTGACTTTTTTTCAAAGTCTCCAAAAATTCTGACCTTTTCTCAAAATGTTGACTTTTTCTCAAAGTTCTGACTTTTTCTCAAAATCCCCAAATCATGTATTTTTCTCAAAATCATGTATTTTTCTCAAAATCTCAAAATTCTGACTTTTTCTTAATACTTAAAAATGTTAATAATCACTCGTCCCCGGCTTGAGCTTCAATACATACATAATCATACATCCTGTCATGTACAGGGCTACCGTTGGGATACCTTTGTCGAAGTCAACTTTATTGTCAATCTTTCAGTTTGTGTGTACAGACAGAGAGATCGAAATAAATGTCCCACAATCCCGAATACAAAAAACAAATATATATAAAAATATGTATATCCTATACTGTATATACACAATCAACCGACACATGTATACATATGCACACATTAAGACCTAAATAAAAGCACCACTAATATAACAGTCACTTCAATATCTTTGGGAAATGTACATTAGTGCAAGATAGCAGCGTAAAAAGTGTCTGGTGCTGGATTGAGTGTTTGAGTTACCATGTGCTACTCTGATATTGGAAAAGTACATTCAGTATTTTCCCAACAAACACCAAGCTGTTATTTTTATGATCGAAGCCCTTATTTGTTGCGTACCTTCAGAGCTCTGACGCATCGTGTAGGCCTTCATGCGGAAGGCGGTGCGAAAGCGTTCTCTGTTACTGAAGCCGGCGGGTTTGGGCTCCTTGGACGGACTTTCCTCGATGGAGTCGGCCGGACCCATGAGCCTCTTCCCCGACCCGATCGATTGCCGAGCGCTGGGAAGGCGAACACGTTCAAGTAAACTCATTTTTTGGCTGAAATGGAAAAAAGACAGAAATCAAAGTCAGTCAAAAAGTCAGTCAACTTTATTGTCAATCTTCCGGTTTGTGTGTACAGACAGAGGGATCAAAATAACGTTTCATGTTCATCAACGTTAAGAGGTTTAAGAGGCATAGCTGAGACCTTTGCTTAACTGATTAGTGTCTATCTTGCTTAGGCACTTTTTTGGTTTGTCGAATTATCCCTGATCAAGGTCTCTGGACTGAAATGTCCTGTCTTAACAAGTCTCCAACAAGTTGTAGGATGTCAGGTCTGTTATCAGTGAATAGTTATTTATGGGTGGACTTCAGACATTTTTGAGAAAGTCGTAGCCACATTTTGGTGGAATTACAGTCGGTCCAGCCATGTTTCCTTCATAGTGTGTAGGTGATAAAGGAAGTATAAATCTTTTAATTGCAATATTTCTGTAAGGTTGTTCCGCAGCTAAAGATCCCTGAGATGTGTGAAAGCTGCAGGTCGAACGAGATCTTGGTTTTGAATGCCTTCGAGGGACTCTAGTTAATATGTAGTCAGGATATATTGTAATTAAGATAGATTGATTGAAACATAGTCACTGAACTCCTGCTGAAACCCTCTCAACGTTTTTTGGAAAACTGTTTGACCTGAGAGCTTCGCACGTCCTGCAAAATTCCAGAGACATGTTTGTGTTTCTTGCATTCTTAGGACGAAACAAAGTCCTTCATCATCTGCAGGAATCTCTCTTCTAGTCTCAGCAACAACCTTCCTTTCCTCTCACAGAGGACTCTTCGTGCTCTGCTGCCTCGGCGTAACAATGCTGCTCTCCTGGCAGAAGGAAGCCTCAAAGAGCTGCGAGAGATTGGTCTCCTTTATTGTCCAATGGTTGACAATATTTGGCAGCACAAAGACAAGAGCTCCCTGGGTAAAATAAGACTCCTGTGTGCCTTGGAAGAGGCAGAGAGGCGGGGTAACCGGAGCCGACAAACAGCCTAAAACAGGGCCTCTGAAACGTGGAGCGTTCTCAGCGACTTTGCTCCCACAGCAGACACACAATATGAGCCTCTATGTGGCCTCGGGGTAGAATAGGGACGCAGATTACGGCGCTGAGAGGCTGCAGAATAGGAAGCTTTAAAGGAAGAGAGAATCTCTTCTCGGCCGAATAAAGAGAAGAAAATTACGTGTGATTATCCCGCTGCAACCGGAAAAACATGATGCATCTTATCTCCCACCACTCTGAGCCTTCCCAGGACACATATTGGTTTACTATACCTGGGCACATTCGCAGTGCTAATATTACAAAGGATAAATCCACTTCATTACAACTTGGCTATTATTTCCTTGTGTTTTGCGATTGTTTCTGTAGTGATCTAAAGAACTTGATTTGGAAATCAATGTTAATACATCAAAGAAATTGGTAATTATCATTATTTTTTCTGGAAAACGATGAGCATATAAGTGGTCTGTAAACTATGGGTATGTTAGAGTCAGAACTGTAATGTCTTCTCTTCTGAAATAATGTCTGAACATTACAAGCTTCATACGGATAACCATCGGTTGCATTACAGTAAATTGGTGTTCCTATTTATGTTTAATTACCTGAACTGTATATTTAAGAGGAAAGGAATATGTTGTATGAGACTTATCTAGGTGTAATTGTGTGTGCTTCCAACTAGAGTTAAAAGGGAAAGGGTCTTAGCACACTTCAAGCTTGGCCTTTTCTTACTCGAGCAGCTCCCAGTGACACAACTATCCCTTGTTCCTTATCTGTCATCAACTAATCCTCTTGATCTCCTACATCCCAACTTCTGCACTTGTAAGAAACATTGTCTGTACTCCAAAGGACTGTAATGTGTTTTCACAATGAGAGCTACGCTAACCATCACCTCTCTTTAAACCTAACCCTAATTTAACCCTATCTTTAAATCAAGTCTTCAACTTAAAATGTTAGGATTTACCTTATAGCAATACATTTACTCAAGTAAAGTAAGATTTTAAGAAACTTGTACCTAAAGTAATTCCATTTATGCTACTTGATACTTCTACTCCACTACACTTAGGAAAATATATTGAACTTCGCCTGACATAATGTGTTACTAGTACCTTTGCAGAATCATATTAAATTGAATTATTATGTATTATTATTAGGGCTGTTAAGTTAACGCGTTAATAACGCGTTAACGCAAAAAAAAATTAATGCCACTAATTATTTTAACGCGATTAACGCATGTGTATTTGTTTTCCTCGGCCACCCCGTAGTGTCAGAGCGCATCGAGTTTAAAATACCATCTACAAGCTGATGCTGACAGCCCCGCTCCTGCAGCCCGCTTGTGGCAGACCACACTTCCACGCTCACCGGCAGGCACCGACTGGCCATCTGGAGGACCGGGAGGGTGTGTGTATGTGTGGCTCGAGCGAGAGAGAGACCTTACGTGCATTGTTGTTGTTAGCATCTGGTGCTAGCTAGCTGCGCTAACGGATAGAAGGAGCTGCTTAAATGAAAACAGAGGAGCGACATTTCGCCACAACTGCGCCGAGCACTTGACTTTATGCAGGAAGCCAGACAGTGGGACATTGTACGAGAAGTCAGCACACTCAGCACGGATAGTGCGCAACATGATTGCAGCGTCCAGGCAGCTCCCGTTCGAGCATATGCCTTGAGTTGCACATAGCTCCAACGTTCCATCACACACACACACACACACACACACACACACACACACACACACACACACACACACACACACACACACACACACACACACACACACACACACACACACACACACACTTTGTATTGTATTATTGTATGAGAGGTTCCAGGTTGAATTGAGGTGAATATTTGTAATGTTCAGAGGTTGTTGTGTTTAATATTCATGAGAATATTATTGTTCAAATGATAATAAACATTAGCATAAAGCATATTTGTCCACTCATATGTTGATAAGAGTATTAAAAACTTGAAAAATATTCCTCTAAGGTACATTTAGAACAGATCAAAAATGTGCGATTAATTTGCGATTAATCGCGATTAACTATTTTAATCGACTGACAGCCCTAATTTATATAGATTGAGATACATCGAAGTTTAAAAAGTCCACTCCACCTTTACCAGATGCCAAATTAAAATGATGAAATATTGAAAATAATATATTGCTATTTAGCATAATCAGTACTTTGAGTTTTGGTACTTTAAGTACATTTTGATGCTAATCCTTTTGTACTTTTACTTAGATAAAAAAAGTGTTACTTGTAAATGAGTATTTCTACACTGTTGTATTACAATTGTTACTTATGTAAACAATCAGAGTATTTCTTCCAACACTGCTTTAGGAAAGTCCCCACAATGTGAGTGTGTAATCAGAGTTATGTCCCCACATTGCCATCAAAACAAAACTAATCAACACACACACACAAACTGAAAAGTGATTTGAGATGGGATATAATTATCTGTCGGTGCTGTATCGACTGGACCACACAATACAGCTGGATAACACAGCTACACACACACACACACACACACACACACACACACACACACACACACACACACACACACACACACACACACACACACACACACACACACACACACACACACACACACACACACACACACACACACACACACACACACACACACACACACACACACACACACACACACACACACTAAGTGGCTTATCACCCTCTGGTTGGACCTGGCAGCTCTGTTGTAGTTGTTGGCCGCCGTCCATCGTTTCGCTGAGAGCAACAAGATAATGTCAGGGCGCTAATTTCCCAGCCGCTGATCCTACAAGGGACTTACAACTCTCTCCACATCGCCTCGTTCCCCCTCTCTGCACCCTGAAGTGTCTTTACATACTTTTGAAAAGAATATCCTATATTTTATTTCCCCTGTTTTCCTTTAGACACTTCAATCTGCTCAAGGTTCAAGGTTAGTTTATTTGTATTGCACAGTTTAAGACACAGGCAATTCAAAGTGCTTTCACATAGGCATTCAACACATAATAACTATGTTCGTCTAATTGTCCTTTATATTGATTTCTCCCATTTTTCTACATTATCTTTGTGCTAAATACTTTGCCTTAAAGATACCCTATTCTGTTTTTTGTAGTGTAGTTTGTTCTATATGTTTTAGTGCATGTAGATCTGGTGGGAGTTTCTCGGGAGAAATACAATCTCAAATATGTGCAAAATTGAGACCAGTGTGCGTTTATTTCTGCTAATTATTTGGTTATACTGGCCATTAATGTTAAGCCAACAAAACACAGTTTATCGTTAAGTGTCTAAGTTATCTGCCCCCCTCACACACACACACGCGCACACACACGCACACACACACACAAGACACACACACGCGCACACACATACCATGTATACATCACTGAAGGGGACATTACATTGACTTACATGCATTTCCTGGAGACTTACCCTAACTTTAACCATAACCAACACATGCCTAACCCTAACCCTAACCCTTAACCTTACCCTTACCCTTACCCTAACCCTTAACCTTGCCCTAACCCTAACCCTTAACCTTACCCTTACCCTAACCCTAACCCTTAACCTTACCCTTACCCTTACCCTAACCCTTAACCTTGCCCTAACCCTAACCCTTAACCTTACCCTACCCTAACCCTTACCCTAACCCTTAACCTTACCATTACCCTTACCCTAACCCTTAACCTTGCCCTAACCCTAACCCTTAACCTTACCCTTACCCTAAACCCTTACCCTAACCCTTAACCTTACCCTTACCCTTACCCTACCCTTAACCTTACCCTAACCCTAACCCTTAACCCTAACCCTAACCCTTACCCTTACCACCTTACCTACCTTACCCTAACCCTTAACCTTACCCTAACCCTAATCCTAAACCTAACCAAGTCTTCACCCTAAAATGAATGATTCCCCTTATGGGGACCTCCATTATGTCCTCATAAGGGAGGCGAGTCCCCACACGTGACTTTGTAAACAGATTTAGGTCCCCACAAGTATAGTAATGCTAGGCCACCCACTCACACACACACACACACACACACACACACACACACACACACACACACACACACACACACACACACACACACACACACGCACTCTATCAGCCTGTGTATCAGGGTCCTGTTGTTGTAGCTTTTAGCAGCAGTAACTTAATCCACATGTTGAACATGGCGGCTCAATGGAGGCCAAGAGGCGTCGGAGCAGAACGCTGCAGTGTAATGAGGCTATGTTAGACATGGGGGGGGGGTGGGGGAGACAGATGCTTTGGGTTGATAACACACACCTCCACTGGACTGGGGAGGTAGTTGTGTATCATTACAGCCTATGGATATTACTCAAAACAATGTATTCATGATGTAGTGGCTTAATAGTTTCTTGAGCTACTACCAACATACGGGGGTGTGATTTCAACGCACAAATAATCCAGAACGATAATCCATTTGGTCAAGATTGGTTGAGTGTGTGTGGTTGAACTGGTTGAGCTTCTTCCCCGTCTAAAACCAACCCCTTCCCCATAAACAGAGATACTATAGTAAATATATTCAGGAGTGCAAACAACTAAGGTGAGTAGATAAATATTCAACAAATAGTATCTGTAGGCCATGTATACTAATAAAACAAGACATGTTACACAATACAAAAATTAAATAAACGTATATAATAAACTCAGTTAAATGGCTCCTACACATTATATAATAGGTTCAATCTGCTAGTGATGTCACTAAGTTCCTGAAGTCAACAAAGGAGTCCAATAGAGGCTTTGCAGACCATTTACATGCACCAAAACCTAAAGAACGCACTAGGGGAAATGGCACACAAAAACTGAATAGGGCCCCTTTAAAAAACAAAAGTGTTGCAGAGTTTTCATCCATAAAGAAGATCATGCTTCATTTCATTTGAGTATATTTATATAACTGTGCAATATGCCGTCGGAGAACAGTCGATGGGGTCAGTGGTCACCAGAAATAACTGTGTATTGATCACTGCGATAGATTTACGACATCATTTCAGCAGTTTATGAGGATGAGACATTTCTTCCACAAATCAAACCTCCTCGGTGAGATTTGCACTGCGTGTTTTGCTGCAGAGATTCATTAACATCATCAAACCCAAAGCCCCCCATCTCAGGCTCTAATTACTCGATCTAAACTGTCATTCATAATTCATAATAACTAATGGACTCGCTAATAGGCTTTCTAAAATAAGTCCTGCAGCCTAAATGCCGTCAGAGTAGCTAATGTGGAAGGCGGTGCTATTAGAGAGCGGGACAAGTGGGAGTTTTATATCACCATTCATATATTTACCACATTAACCCGGAGATGTATTCGTCTGAATTAATACAGGACGCTATTTAAAAGCGGGGGTATTCTAGGAACCCTTCATTAGTCTTTCCAGCATGTGGAGATATTTAAAGCGCCATCAGAAAGACTCTGAGATTTAAAGATCGCTGTAGGAAATCAAACAGTGACCTACCTGGCTATGCCCTCCAAGTGATCCTTCCTGCAGGTGGGGAGAGGGGACATTAGAAAAGTTAACAACCGAGGACTGATTAAAGCTGAAATATCCTTCAACAATCATAAAATACACATATTTATATTTTTTGAATTCATATTTAAGCAAAAAAACTGTCTTAAAGACACATTTTAAAGCTTTTTGCACAAAGACGATACAAATACTTTATTGTCAGATCAAGTCCGATTGGATGACTACAGTTTATATTCAGAGAAAATGCTAATATGCTTTTAATACATTGTTATGATAGTTTAATTAATAGAGCTTCTCATAGTTTGACCTACAGTCGTATAGTAGATTTAGAGGTGGAGCAGCTCTCACCTTAAAGCGGTCGACAAACACTTTAGTAGAGGAACAACCCCCAAAAAAGGCTTTAGTTTTCGACCACCCCTACCAAAACTATTTATATGAGAGCTACCCCTACCCCAGGTTAAAACAAAACTACTTTCATGAGAAAGTAATAATCTCTAGTACATACAAATACAATGTTTGAGTAATTAGACTCAGAAAAGTATAAGCATACCTTTTGGATTCTTAATTTCCAATTCCATTTCCGCCTGTCATTCAAGTGTTAATATTACAAAGGTGGTAAAAGGTATTGATATGATATTTGCTGTATTGTATGCATCCCTCTCTGTGAACATCCAGTCTAGGTTCGGTGACATTCTGATTATTATTTCCAGAGATACATGGGATAAGGCCAACACGGCCCCATTCAGAGCAGCCTACATTTTCACTATTTTCGGTTATGGGAACGTTGCAAACATCAACCAAAAATCGTACCTCAACTTTTAGGGGGCCTAAAAGTTCCTCTACTTTCTACTTGAACCATGTGGTTTATCAATCATGTCAAACAGTCATAATCACACATTTAAAAGACAAAGAAAGTTGTTTTTTACATTGAACACATGTATCTACTTGCCCCAAAATTAAATACAAATGTTCCAGCTGTTGCCAATAGAAGTTTAAAACAAGTATAGCTCTGTCTATTTGCTGGGAACATTTACAACAATAAATGTCTGTAGTACGATTTAATAAATGAAGTTTGGACTTAAATGAACACATTTCATGCAACTACTGTACATTGTTGTAACATTTAACAAAATGTACAGTAGTTGCATGACGGACTTTTAGGTAAACGTATGTCATGTCCTTTTTAACGTGACTTTAAAGTTGGTGTTACTTGCCTGAAACAGGGGAGAGAGATAATCGTTTCGTAGAATCTCCACGTGGCAATAAGGTCGTCCCTGATTGGATTGGTGGAATAGTATCGCCAGGCAGACTTCAGATAGGACGACAAAACACAGCCGTTTAATATGAACAGTCTGGTTCAGTTAGATGTAGAGTTTTGATGTGTTTTCAGACTCTCACCTGGATGAGCCCGGCGGCCGGCTGTCGTCTCTTCTCAAAGTGTTTCTGCCTGTGCTGCTCCTGCACCTTCAGAGCCAGACCGGACCCCAGGATGCCCTGCACACACAAAACACCATCAGGTACCCCTCTTTAAAAAATAAATATCCATGGACCCAACATAAGCTTCCTATGGTTTGGTCACGTTAGGTTTAAGGCAGGGGGGTCAAACTCAATTTCATCGCGCGCCACATCAGCATTATGGTTGCACTCAAAGGGCTGGTTGTAACTTTAAGACTATATGAAAATACATATATAAATATATCATATAAAATAATGTATTGTATTACATTATTGCCTCCGCATTGGATTATTATCGGATAGGGTAATAACTTCATAAATAACTACGACTGAAAGCAGAAGTCTAGGGCAAATCATTGCAAGTCTCTTCAGTGAGAATGTCACAAAATGATTTAAAAGAAAAGCCAAATTCTGGAAAAAAGTCAAATTTGAGATGCATCGTGCTCCTCTGTAAATCCTCTGTAAATCATGTAACCGTATAATAAACATATATATATTCTTTGCAAGCTCTTGTGGGGCCACATCAAATGAAGTCGCGGGCCGGATTTGGCCCCCGGGCCTTGAGTTGGACCCCCCTGGTTGAAGGTGTCAGATCCACTGCACAGGGCCACAAACACAAGCTCTTGCAAACAGAAGATTTCTTCTTATAAAATATGATGGAAAATCTTCATTTTGCGTCTAACATGTTGGCTGTCCCTCGTGACTCTAAGCACGAGGTTCTGCCCGTCACCGACTTACTGGTCAACACGACATCAATAACGATATAACAGCTACTCGCCATCAATAACGATATAACAGCTGCTCGACATCAATAACGATATAACAGCTGCTCGCCATCAATAACGATATAACAGCTGCTCGCCATCAATAACGATATAACAGCTACTCGCCATCAATAACGATATAACAGCGACTCGCCATCAATAACGATATAACAGCTACTCGCCATCAATAACGATATAACAGCTGCTCGCCATCAATAACGATATAACAGCTACTCGCCATCAATAACGATATAACAGCGACTCGACATCAATAACGATATAACAGCGACTCGCCATCAATAACGATATAACAGCTACTCGCCATCAATAACGATATAACAGCTGCTCGACATCAATAACGATATAACAGCTACTCGCCATCAATAACGATATAACAGCGACTCGACATCAATAACGATATAACAGCGACTCGCCATCAATAACGATATAACAGCTACTCGCCATCAATAACGATATAACAGCTGCTCGACATCAATAACGATATAACAGCTACTCGCCATCAATAACGATATAACAGCTACTCGCCATCAATAACGATATAACAGCTACTCGCCATCAATAACGATATAACAGCTGCTCGACATCAATAACGATATAACAGCTGCTCGACATCAATAACGATATAACAGCTACTCGCCATCAATAACGATATAACAGCGACTCGCCATCAATAACGATATAACAGCTACTCGCCATCAATAACGATATAACAGCGACTCGACATCAATAACGATATAACAGCGACTCGCCATCAATAACGATATAACAGCTACTCGCCATCAATAACGATATAACAGCTGCTCGCCATCAATAACGATATAACAGCTACTCGCCATCAATAACGATATAACAGCTACTCGCCATCAATAACGATATAACAGCTACTCGCCATCAATAACGATATAACAGCTACTCGCCATCAATAACGATATAACAGCTACTCGCCATCAATAACGATATAACAGCTACTCGCCATCAATAACGATATAACAGCTACTCGCCATCAATAACGATATAACAGCTACTCGACATCAATAACGATATAACAGCTACTCGCCATCAATAACGATATAACAGTGACTCGCCATCAATAACGATATAACAGCTACTCGACATCAATAACGATATAACAGCTACTCGCCATCAATAACGATATAACAGCTACTCGACATCGATAACGATATAACAGCTGCTCGACATCAATAACGATATAACAGCTGCTCGACATCAATAACGATATAACAGCTGCTCGACATCAATAACGATATAACAGCGACTCGCCATCAATAACGATATAACAGCTGCTCGACATCAATAACGATATAACAGCTACTCGCCATCAATAACGATATAACAGCTACTCGCCATCAATAACGATATAACAGCTGCTCGACATCAATAACGATATAACAGCTGCTCGACATCAATAACGATATAACAGCTGCTCGACATCAATAACGATATAACAGCGACTCGCCATCAATAACGATATAACAGCTACTCGCCATCAATAACGATATAACAGCTGCTCGCCATCAATAACGATATAACAGCTGCTCGACATCAATAACGATATAACAGCTGCTCGACATCAATAACGATATAACAGCTGCTCGACATCAATAACGATATAACAGCGACTCGCCATCAATAACGATATAACAGCTACTCGCCATCAATAACGATATAACAGCTGCTCGACATCAATAACGATATAACAGCTGCTCGCCAAATATGCAAATTATTCTTAGGAAAATACAGATGAGTTTTTTAATTATCTATAAAAGATGTGGATTAAGGTTAAAATTAACATGTTGTTTAATAAGGAAATACATAATCTGTGAATGTGCTGATAAAATAATCTACAGGAGAAGAGATTAACCATCATCAGAGTGTACCCACTGCAGGCAGAGCGAAGAAGGAAACTCCGATCAGAGCGAAGGTTCCCGCCAACAATCGGCCCGCCCACGTCTTCGGGGTTTTATCCCCGTAACCAATGGTGGTCAGCGTGATCTATAAAGTGTTAGAAAAATATCACTCGTCTCCGGCTTGAGCTTCAATCTCAGGATCCATGTGTCTCTGATCCTCTCCAGAATGGAAGGAGTCATCACATACAGAGACTAGTTCCTGAACAGTGTCCTTCACATGCTGATATCCAAGAGAGGGAGTTACAGTCACAAGATGGAGGAATAGAAAGCAGTATTCAATGTTTACTTCAGATTAGCTCCACGTCAGAAATGAGCATGCTTGATGTCTCTCTCCATAGAGGCTGAATCATCATGTTAATCACATAGCTATCATCTGCCTCAAACAGTCCTGATGCTCTTCTATAATCACACATCCTGTCATGTTCACAGCTACAGCTGATACCTTTGTTATCATGTTACTCTCATGTTGGAAGAGGACATGCAGGATGTTCCAAACAAAAAGAAACACATACAGAGTAGAAACTGGACTACAGTATCTACTTCTGTACTTATACTTCCTATCTTCAGTGTTTTAGTGCACATCAATGTGAAGTTTGGAAAAAGGCACTATTAGTACCCAGATGTCTAAAGAGAACTGGACCCAGCGTTGGAGGAGATGCCCCGTTTATTCCTAAGAGTTGCTCAGTGAAGCCAAAGATGGAGCGACTGTAGATTCGGGGGCTCATAAAGCATGCTCAGTGAATGTTTCCTTAAGCTCCTCCTCCCATCTCCAGGTCTTGGATCAGTCAATCGAACGGAGAATAAATATAACTCTGGTTTCAGCTTTCAGCGCAACTTTTAGACCCGTGTGATTTAAATAAGGGTTATACAAGTGTTGGTCGTTTACGTAGCAAGTACGCACGTGTAGTACCACCGTTTGGCCACCATGAAAAGGTGCTTGAGTGGCTGGCCCTCTTCTTGCTTCTCACAATCGACAATCAACGACCGGCATCTTGGCTAACATTAGTCGATGCTGCTGCTCTGGTGAAGCCAACACTATACAACAAATGTGGATTTCATTCTCTACGTAATCACTTTAAAACCACGCTGGTGTCAAAATAAGCCACTGTTTATTTTATTGGGAGTCATTTAGTGGTTTGTTCTGGTTTGTCGATCGTTACTTCCTGTGATTTGAGACAACAGTGTACTAGAGAAATGATCCAGAGCACTGCTCCTCTCTGTAACCTCTGTTTGAATCTCTGATGGCCGTGTGTTTCAGCCTCATCTATAACATGAGGGGTGAGTGTGTTGCTCAAGGACACTTCAGCGGAGCAGATGCTCGCTGTCAGAGATGTTGATCTGTGGCCTGCAGGATGAAGGAACCTCTAATGAGGACAGAGTGCTGGAAGCTTCATTAGAGCAGGAAGCTGAGCCAACACTGGACCAACACTCAGCCAGCTGCTCTCGGACTGGCTTCATGTGTTGTTTACTAAAAACTGGATCTTTTGCATCGTTGAAGTGATGAATGCAAGACGCCTGCCTCGATGTTTTGGTGCGCTCTGTTTTGTCTTGTGTTGTGCGTTAATCCATGCACCACGGCATCAAGTCAAATTCCTCGTACGTGTTAACAATAAACCTGCTTCTGATATTTAACAGTGATAATAGCGCTGATGTGCAGTACGTACCAGTCCCCACCAGAGGGCGTCGGCGTACGTGTCGAAGTCCTGCGCTTTGGGCTGCGCGGTGGGGTTGTCGGGGTCAGAAACCTCCATGGAGACGTCGTCCTTCTCCACCAGGTACACCAGGAAGGAGGCGAGGATCAGAGACAGGAAGCCGATGTACCACGCCGTGATCAGCTCCTGAAAACACACACATGCACGAAAATGTGACCATTAAGTTCTCGATAAATCCTCATTAAAAAGCGCGTTTCTCCTAATGGTGGAGACGCATCTGCACCGGTCGGCCACCAAGATTCAAGATCCAAGGCTTTATCGTCATGTAGCAGCTGCAGTGTCGATGTGGCAATGAAAAACTGACGTCACAGGCTCCTCCGACAGCAACATGAATATAGGACATAAAACAAATAAAACAGTGCAAGAGAACACAGATCCCATCCTTGGTACTGAAGTTATTTCACGACATGACACTTCAATTGTTTGTAGTGATAATGTTTTAACTTACTTTTGTTCAGCTGTTTCCCCAGCAAGTTTCTCTGGCACTGTTTTATCTGTTTTATCTGTTATATTTGTTCTATGGAGGAGGATGTGACTTTCATTGCCACATCTACACTGTAGCTAATGTGCAAATGACAATAAAGCCTTGACACTTGAAAGTATACTTCAGCTCCGAGCCTCCGCACTGAAGTTTTCCCAGGACTTCCATTGCTTTTTTAGAGCTGGACTGCAGCACACTTACATACAAACGAACGTTACTTCCATTCAGCAGTTCCCCCAGTGTATATTTCATCTCCCAGCCTCCACACTGCAGTTCCTGTGGGATATAAACCCACCTTGCTGTGGGCATAAATGGCGGACCCCAGCAGTTTCCAGGTGCCCCCCCTCCGGTCCATACGCAGCATCCGGAGGATCTGCAGGAAGCGAAGGCTGCGCAGAGACGTGGCCAAAACGTTGCCCTGGTTCCTCACCGCCACCACGGGCACCGAGGCGATCAGCACGAAGATGTCTGGATTCATGGAAAAATGAAAACACATGTAACGAAACCGTAGTTTCAAGATTCAAGGCGTTATCATCATGTAGCAGCTACTGTGTAGACGTGGCAATGAAACACTGAAGTCCCAGGCTCCTCCGACAGCAACATGAATATATATATAAAACAAATACAACTGATAAAATAGTGCAAGTAAATACAGATCCCATCCTCGGTGCTGAAGTTATTTCACGACATGTTGTTGAGCTGAATTGCAGCACTCTTTATTTAACATATGAATGAATGCTGCATTCATCAGACCCTGGCTAAACGCGGTCACACACACTTTCCAGAACCAGGCACTTATTCGCACGCGTTCAACTGGCTTTGCAACTCATTAAGTGCTGAAGAGATTACAGATAAAGTAATGAGCCTGTTTTGAAAATGTAAGAAGTAGAAATCAGTTAAAACTGTAAAAACTAAAGTAGAAACGACTAGAGGGACAACTCGTTTTTTGTTTACATATCATAGGCTCTATAAATCAATACAAACCCAGTATACTGAAAAACAGAGCAGGTCTGGAAACATCTTACTTATGTTTCCATTTAAAAATCATTGGAGCACTTCCTGCTTCCTGTCTGCATGCACACATACGGGAACATGTAGTACACATATTCATATCCATGACTTTAGCAACACTTTAAATACTGTTTCGTGTCAAAGTCCTGCATCATCGAGGATAAAGACTAAAGTACAAGAGAATTACGAACACATTGTTATTAAAGTAGAGGTTTTTAATATGCAGAATATTGTTTCAATAGAGGGCCAAAGATTCATGGACAAATATTCTTTATGTGACGCGTTTATCAAACCCGTAATGAGCAGACAGAGTTATTGAACCTGCTCTGAGGAGGGGGAACGCAGAGCGCAGGAATGAGCTGCTGAGTAGATTTAGTTGTAACACCTCACAGTGACGTATAACTGCAATAGCCTTTAAGTCATCAGATTAAGTGTTTAGGAAAATGGGTTTTATGACATTTCAGAATAAAATGAAAATAAAATATCAATAAATAAAAATTGCATTAAAGTATTTATACATATATGTGCAGTAAAACGTGAAATAAAATATAATGAAAATACTTATAAAAACATATGAAGTAAAAATGGTCACCAGAATAACATGTAAATGATATTACGATATATTCAGAGATATATTAGTATGAATAACAATGTGTTTATTCGTCCTCAGTGTTATGCATGTTAATGATTGTGGGACTCCTTACCCAGAATGCAGAGCGGTTTTCGAGCGAACTTCAGCCGCCCCCTCCATCCTTTGTAGCGACAGCAGCATCCTGCGGCCCAGACCCTCAGACCGAACTCTGCTCCGAAGATGAAGATAGCAAACGTTTCCTGCAGGAAGAAAAATATAAAAAATATAAATTAAATGGTCGTTGAAGAGAAGAGACATGAAGAAGAGGGGACACATGTTGATGTAGAAGAGACGTGAAGAAGAGGGGACACATGTTGATGTAGAATAGCCATGAAGAAGAGGGGACACATGTTGATGTAGAAGAGACGTGAAGAAGAGGGGACACATGTTGAGTAGAGAGAAGAGGCATGAAGAAGAGGGGACACATGGTGATGTAGAAGAGACATGAAGAAGAGGGGACACATGGTGATGTAGAAGAGACATGAAGAAGAGGGGGACACATGTTGATGTAGAAGAGACATGAAGAAGAGGGGGCACATGGTTGATGTAGAAGAGACATGAAGAAGAGGGGACACCATGGTTGATGTAGAAGAGGAAGACATGAAGAAGAGGGGACACATGTTGATGTAGAAGAGACAGAAGAAGAGGGGACACATGTTGATGTAGAAGAGACATGAAGAAGAGGGGACACATGTTGATGTAGAAGAGACATGAAGAAGAGGGGACACATGGTGATGTAGAAGAGACATGAAGAAGAGGGGACACATGTTGATGTAGAGAGAAGAAGGGTACATGAAGAAGAGGGGGACACATGTTGATGTAGAAGAGACGTGAAGAAGATAGAGGGACACATGTTGATGTAGAAGAGACATGAAGAAGAGGAGACACATGTTGATGGAGAAGAGACATGAAGAAGAGGGGACACATGTTGATGTAGAAGAGACATGAAGAAGAGGGGACACATGTTTGATGTAGAAGAGACATGAAGAAGAGGGGACACATGTTGATGTAGAAGAGACATGAAGAAGAGGGGACACATGTTGATGTAGAAGAGACATGAAGAAGAGGGGACACATGTTGATGTAGAAGAGACATGAAGAAGAGGGGACACATGTTGATGTAGAAGAGACATGAAGAAGAGGGGACACATGTTGATGTAGAAGAGACATGAAGAAGAGGGGACACATGTTGATGGAGAAGAGACATGAAGAAGAGGGGACACATGTTGATGTAGAAGAGACATGAAGAAGAGGGGACACATGTTGATGTAGAAGAGACATGAAGAAGAGGGGACACATGTTTGATGTAGAAGAGACATGAAGAAGAGGGGACACATGTTGATATAGAAGAGACATGGAGAAGAGGGGACACATGTTGATGTAGAAGAGACATGAATAAGAGGGGACACATGTTGATGGAGAAGAGACATGAAGAAGAGGGGACACATGTTGATGTAGAAGAGACATGAAGAAGAGGGGACACATGTTGATGGGAGAAGAGACATGAAGAAGAGGGGACACATGTTGATGGAGAAGAGACATGAAGAAGAGGGGACACATGTTGATGTAGAAGAGACATGAAGAAGAGGGGACACATGGTTGATGTAGAAGAGACCATGAAGAAGAGGGGACACATGTTTGATATAGAAGAGACATGAAGAAGAGGGGGACACATGTTGATGTAGAAGAGTACATGAAGAAGAGGGGACACATGTGTTGTAGTGTAGAAGAGACGTGAAGAATGAGGGGACCTGTTGATGTAGAAGAGGCTGAAGAAGGGGTACACATGTTGATGTAGAGAGACATGAAGAAGAGGGGGACACATGTTGATGAAGAAGAGACATGAAGAAGAGGGGCACATGTTGATGTAGAAGAGACATGAAGAAGAGGGACACATGTTGATGTAGAAGAGACATGAAGAAGAGGGGACACATGTTGATGTAAGAGAGACATGAAGAAGAGGGGACACATGTTGATGTAGAAGAGACAATGAAGAAGAGGGGACACATGTGTGATGTAGAAGAGACATGAAGAAGAGGGGACACATGTTGATGTAAGAAGAGACATGAAGAAGAGGGGAACACATGTTGATTGTAGAAGAGACATGAAGAAGAGGGGACACATGTTGAGGTAGAAGAGACATGGAAGAAGAGGGGACACATGTTTTGATGTAGAAGAGACATGAAGAAGAGGGGGACACATGTTGATGTAGAAGAGACAATGAAGAAGAGGGGACCACATGTTTGATGTAGAAGAGACACTGGAAGAAGAGGGGACACATGTTGATGTAGAAGAGACACGAAGAAGAGGGGACACATGTTGATGTAGAAAGAGACATGAAGAAGAGGGGACACATGTTGATGTAGAAAGAGACATGAAGAAGAGGGGACACATGTTGATGTAGAAGAGACATGAAGAAGAGGGGACACATGTTGATGTAGAAGAGACATGAAGAAGAGGGGACACATGTGATGTAGAAGAGACACGAAGAAGAGGGGACACATGTTGATGTAGAAGAGACACGAAGAAGAGGGGACACATGTTGATGTAGAAGAGACACGAAGAAGAGGGGACACATGTTGATGTAGAAGAGACACGAAGAAGAGGGGACACATGTTGATGAAAAGAGACATGAAGAAGAGGGGACACATGTTGATGTAGAAGAGACATGAAGAAGAGGGGACACATGATGATGTAGAAGAGACATGAAGAAGAGGGGACACATGATGATGTAGAAGAGACATGAAGAAGAGGGGACACATGTTGATGTAGAAGAGACATGAAGAAGAGGGGACACTGTTGTTAGAAGACCATAGAAGGGCACTTTGATGTAGAAGATACATGAAGAAGTGGATTGTTGCACAATAGGGGACCTTTAAAGTTAGTTTTTATCCACCTTGTTATTTGTTTATCCGTCAAAGGTATTTTTATTATTGTTGTTGTTGTTGTTAATTTTCCTCTCACCACTATAACCAGCATGTGCGCAGAAACCTTCTCGTGCTCCTTGAACGTCGTCAGGATGGCCAGAATCAAACATCCCAGAACTATCAGAAACCTGCAGACACACACCACACACACACACACACACACACACCACACACACACACACACACACACACACACACACACACACACACACACACACACACACACACACACAACACACACACACACACACACACACCACACACACAGTAAATACAGGAGTGTTATAGATACATGAAAACAGTTCATGTACTATAAAGCAGTTTCTGATGTGACCACTAGGGGGAGCTACATCTCTACTGTTCTCTTCCAACGCCAGCGACACAAGTAGCTTTCCCTCTCTTCTGGGAAAATGTACTTTTGAAAGGTTTTAAATAAATTACACATTTAGGAATTCCCACTGCATGTCAAACACATATTTGGAGCTTTGATACCGCATTGTTTTATTAATAAAGAGTTGAAAATCAGAGCACAGTCTTTGAAGCCAACAGAAGTTCTCTCTTGACACAGTTACGTTTTTGCAATTTCATTATGTTTTACGGCATTTCAGTTCACTTTACTCTCTGTGTCTTTATGGGTAGGGTTTGTTAATGTGTGCATACTTTTTAATTCAATCAACACTTTGAACTCAGGACTTTTTCTTGTACTTGAGTTTTCCAGACTTATTAGAAGACGTATTTCTTCTGTTATAATGAAGCACTTTGCCATTGATTGCTCTGCCCTTTCTCATCTCGCCCTCTGGTTCTAAATCATTGATGTTCAGTTGTGTTGCCATTAGCGTGTGTTCACAAACATCTCCCAGAAGTTCCCCGTAACAGCATGAATATTTTACAGCCAAAGCGCCTGCAGAGTTTTACATAATTCACAGAGAGGAAGTGATAGCAGAGAGCAGACGCCTCCTCGTCGACCGTTAACGTCACTTAACCGTCTCGTAGTGATTCTGCTCAAAGTTATCCAGAGGACAGAGATGATCCTGGAGGTCGATGTTAACTCGAGAGGATGCTACAGATACTGATCTGCAACACTTCCTATTCAGCCTCAAATAGTTCAATAAGACACACCGAGACGAGTCGATGTTTGTTACACATTAACAAGACCGGAAATCAAAGGGCTCAACAGTATCAGGGACAACAAACTGTAGTAAAAACAACGAGAAGGGACATTCTTATTCTTATCAACATAGGTTCTAAAAGTCAATACAAACCCAGTATACTAAAAAACAGAGTCTGGAAAACATCTTACTTATTTTTCCATTTAAAAATCATTGGAGCACTTCCTGCTTCCTGTCTGCACGCACACAGACAGCACAATAAGCACACATATTCATATCCACACCAAATATTGTGTTACGTGTACAAGTCCTGCATGCCAAGAGGATATAGAAGACACAAGTACAAGAGTATTACGAGCTAATTGTTATTAAAGAAGCTTAAGTAGAGGTTCTCCATATTGAAGTGTTCCCAGTGTCCAGATATGAGTTTGCTTAACGATGTGCTTAATTACTTTGTATGAAATAGTAGCAGAGATGTGAGAGATGAGATATCCTTATTTGGACACAGCATGTCAAACATCTGGAAGGTAAAATGTGTGTGCGTTCTGTCAAAGAGTCCTATGTTTTCCTCGTTATTATTGATATTAAAGTAACTTACATGTATTACTTGTATTAGCCAACTATAAACAACTATATCTTAAACATATCTTAAAAATGCCAAAAGTATGTGAAACTGTGTGTGTGTTAAACTGATGGGGGAGGGGGCCGGAGAGAAGGACGTTTTTTTTTTCTTGTTTCAGGGTTGCCTCAGCTGGCTCGCGCTGATTCGCTGCGACAGGCCATCGTTTTTGTATCTCCCAATAGACTACCCCTGTGGGAGGAGCATCCTACACAACTCCTCCCGTTGGAATTACATGTAGCCCTGTGGTGTCCTTTGTCCGGTCTCTTTTTATTCATGCTGCCAAGATAGTAAGATCTACCAGCACACGGACCAGAGCAGGAGTACTCCTTTAAATTGTATTGTTGTTTTTTACCATTAAAACAGATTATTGTTTATCCTTTATCCTGGTGTTTCGAATTCCTTCTTTTATAATTTCACCAGCTCATCAAGGGACGCGTGGAGCCGAGGTGGGCTTCAGACCACCGTCCTCAGCGCTCCAACAATATGCAGAATGACTGTCATGTCTCGGAAACTTATCATGAAATTCTTTATATTAGTTTTGTCATGTCCCTTTGTTCTGTGCCCTCTGTCTTATTGTAACAAGTAATTCTCCCTCTCGTTTCAGAACTCCATGTCCCCGCCCCTATGTGTCTCCTGTGTTCGTGATTGGTTACCCCGCCCTGATTGTTTCCACCTGTTCCCCTCACCTTGTGTATATATTGTGTTAGTCCCCACCTGTCCAGTGCCAGTTCGTTTCTTATTCATGACCACGTTCAAGCCTGCTCCGTGGTCGTATCCCGCATTTAGTTTTTCCTCGGAAGAGTGATTTTGTGTTTCTTGTTTTTGTTACTGTGTAAATTCCAGTAAAGTCTTTATTTTTGAATACCACGCGAGTCTGAGTCTGAGTTGTGCATTTGAGTTCATGCATCTGAGTTCACCCCGTGACAATGACCTCCTGTTAATGTTTTATCGAGAAGGTTAAATAGGGGAAGTGCATTATGTGTAAATAGGTATGGACACAATAGGGAAAGTGCTGTACCTGTATGTTTCTTGTTTGTTTCTTTGCCATGTGATATGTGATCTCTGTTCTGTATCTATGACTGATTGACCTGAATGTTTTATGTGTATTATCTCGATGCCCAAGACAAATTTCTCCTAAGGGAGACAATAAAGCTTTATCTTATCTATCTTATCTTATCTTAAATGGGAAAACTTCCTGAAATATATAATGCAATCAAGAGAGAGGTGTGCTTGAGTAAGTGAGAACATGTCACAGTCGAGGCTCAAAGTACAAATATGACCCTGAAAACTAGCGTAAGATGTCCTCTTTTAACGTCTGCTAACTAAAGCGAATAATGTCGGCCGCCAGAAGCTAACGGTCAAACCCAACCACACGAGGCTGTAGCAGCAAAACAACTGGAAAGGTGTTTTGTTATTATTAATATGTTAACATTAAAAAAAGAAAGACTGCTGTTTTGATATTTGTGTTGCCTAATGAAGACCAAGACCAACAACGTGTTATTCCGTCTCTTAGCAAGCTAACATTAGCCACCGAAAGCTATTGGTCAAACCCAACCACACGAGACTGTAGCAGCAAAACAACTGAGTGTATTCGACTTGGAAAGGTTTATTTGCATTATTAATATGTTAAGATTAAAAAAGAAAGACTTAAGGAATAAGTCGGATGCTGATTTGCGTCGCCTAATAAATACCAAAAAGTCATGTTATCAGTTCTCTTATTAGTTTCTAACTCAGCTCCAAATTCCCATGAGGACATACAACATCATGCAAAGCTTGTGTCAGGAATCCTTAAGAAGCTATTAAGTGCTGTGCTTTTATGAAGGAACATAGAGACTATGTGCAGCAGCGGATTCATCCACATTTTGGTATTTTAGGGAACATCTCCCAGCAACAATATCCAGTGCTACATGTCCGAAAGAGAAACTCCAGACAGTCAGTTCCAGACATTCAAAAAACGAGAAGAAATGTCCGTAGAAATTCAGATGGTGAGACGCTGTTGATTCCTACCCTTGAAACACTTCATTACTTGCTGTCGGCAGAATAAACGAAGCATTGAATCCAATCTGTGCTTTGATTGGAAATCTAGAGACTCTGAGAGAGAGGCGGCCACGCCTGCAGACACATTTCATCTCTCCATGTGCAGCTGAACAGTGACCGGCTGCTCCTGTCTCAGGTGGAATTGGTTAAAGGAATGCAGCTTTTTACCAGAGTGCAGATTTATAGTCCGGAGACACTCAGTGGGAAACGGGTCTGGTGGCTTAGAGATCATGTTTGGTCATTTCCACTAATAAAAAGCTCTGATGGAAACAAACTGAAGAGGAGTTTACCCACAAGTGTGCTCCAACAACATCCCATGCTTTGCACTGTTTGGTGTCAACAATGCAAACAAGCAGAAAGTGTGGATAATCCATAACCTGCAGCATTCGCTGATATCTGTCTACGTTTATTAGGGCCCGAGCACGAGAGTGCTAGGACCCAACGGCGTCCTAGCACGAAGTGCAAGGATACCTATTGTTATTCGTGGAATTATTAGGGCCCGAGCACGAGAGTGCTAGGACCCAACGGCGTCCTAGCACGAAGTGCAAGGATACCTATTGTTATTCGTGGTATTATTATTATTATTCCATATTTCAATGCTTATTTTCAGGCCTTTAGGATGCTGAGAAAGTTGTATAATTTTGCACAGATTCCAGAATCGGTGAAAAATTTGATATTCTGGAGTCAATGTGTTCAAATTGTCCAACATGCTCTCTAGCGCCACCTATGGCCATTTCCGTTTTTGGAAAGATGTACAAAGTCGCACCGTAACTCCAAATGACCTGAAATTTTTCACACTTACTCGGGTGGACCTGCTCTACATATAATGTCCAAGTACCCGTAAGCTCCGCCTACTTTATTTTTTTTTAAATTAGCATAATTTGAAAAACAGTTAAATATTCACTTAAATTTCAAATTTTGGTTTTTCAACACCAAACTCAGTATACAGTATCGCCGGAGGGTCAGACACATTATCGTAGGAAATGAGCATGTTCAGTCGATAAATGTGGCCCTCATTACTCTAAACGTGTTTGCAAAAGGCGGGGCTTAGTTTTTCAAATTTCAAATGCTCATAACTCATCAACAATGTACAACAAAACCACACATTTTGGTGGGAAGGTTCATTCTGTATTGGGGAATAGGCACAAAAAGTAATTTCCATTTTGGACTATAGGGGGCGCCAAAAACATGACAAATGTATAACTCATGAACTGATGGACAAAATATATATTTTTTTTTTTAGACATACTCTGGGGATAAGTATGCACTTATATTTAAAGTGTCACGACGAATGACAAATGTGGGCGTGGCCTGTACGTTTTTTTTTATGACGATGTGCTAAAATATGTTTCGGTACT